AAAGGGACTCCTTCCACTGGACTTAAAGCCAATCCAGATAACCCATGATCTCATTTTAAAACGTCTTGCTTCATTATAGCAGTGAAACACTTCTGCCCGCTAAGGTCCAACTCACAGATTTAGGGTCAGGAAACAGATACAGCTCTAGGAAGCTGCCCCTCACACTCAACCCATTAAAAATGAGCAGGGGAATAACAGGAAGAAAAGTCACGTGCTATCCACTTTAGTAACATGCTATACTTGGGCACTGCTAAGGTTGAAATGTGTTGTCCTGGAGAATGGAACAAGATCGGAGTCAAGAAAATGTGGGATTTTGGAGACAGATTTGAAAGCCAGCCATGAATTCTTCTCTTTGGGGATTTAACTTTAACACTCTTCCAATTTGATTGTAGCTATAAGCTTGTTGGGCTTGTTGTTTGTTTCACCACATTGTTCTGAACTAACCAATGTTGACTTGAATTTCCCAGTTGCTTCGGTTTGAGGAATAAATGAAAGTGAAGTCTTCGAAATGCCAGCCGAAGTCTCCCTGGGCAGCAGGACCTATTTTTTAGCACACTAAAGGAAACAAATTTAACGTAATTTGACAATTTCAAAATTTTCCTGTTATAAAAGCTCTGTCATCCCATATTTATTGAAACATCAAGGAGTTTGGGTAAGGCTTGTACATAATTTTAGCACCATGCCTATAATTTTCATGCACGTACCTGCTGCCTTAAGTGAGTCACATGAGGACGCCTATCAACACTTTCTAGTATTAATTTTTTTTATTCATCAACCAGCTTGTTAAGAAATTAGTGCTGATCCCATTGACTCATTTGTTGTGTTGCTTAGGTTTAACTGTGTTCTTATTTAAACACTGCCAAGAAGAAATAATCCTTGGTTTCTAGATGGTGAGAGTAGGTAATTAAGTTAATGAGACTTGGGAACCTTCAAAGACGTCCACCTTTGTTCATCTGTGCTCTAAACAACGTTTCTTACCAATTTTCTTTTGTTTTATAATATTGTGATATTTGTGTGTGGTCTGTATGTATGCACACATATATGTATATGTTTTGCTTTCCTTAAAAAATAGTGTTAAACGTTAGATTATTTGTTCCTTAAGTTATCACAGTTCCAGGCATATGACAAAATTCAGTAATAATAAGTGTTCCAATTATTAGTTTCGTTACCATCATCAGTGTTGAATAACGACTTTCCCAGGCCTAGGGTGTTTCTCTGCCACTTCTCTTGTCTAAATCATTCCACTTATTGATCTACTACATTTATAAGTTATCTTTGTAAATTTCTGACTCCTAAGTCCCATAGCTTGTGCTCAGCCTTCATTTCATGCTTCTAGGATTTGGTTGACATGGAGGGTATGTCTAAAACGTTCTTGTCTTTTGGTTCCCACTTCAGATTGTTATTTCCCTAATAAACTATGCTGAGTAAAGATACTAAGGACTAACCTTTCCTTCAGATTGCTAACCAGTGCTTCCCTGTGTATAAATTTAACAAGTCTACTTTTGCCGTGTTCCTGGGAATCCTTGAAAAGAAACAACCGAAGTGAAATAGATTCAGATTAAGCCAAATAATTTAAAGGGCATCGATTTCCAAAGAGCATTAGATCTGAAGTCAAAGCCGACTTTATGTGCTGCATGGCAATTGAAATTGAGTCCTTTTCGCTGCTGTGTATCTCCTAGTGACAGATGTGGAATTCGAAGCTTCTAGCATCACTGTGGTTGCCCTCACTATCTTCCCGTCACTGTCAACCTGATAACTACATCCACTCTGGACATCCTAAGTGACTGAAAATCAATGCATCTTCAAAACTCGTGAGCATCCACCTTTATGGAAAGCAAATTGTATTTTAAGACCAAGGATTCGGGGAAATAACTTACGTTTGATCTTTTGTGTTTGGCTTCTTCAATGGTTGCTTTTGGACAGACTGCTTAGCCTTTCTGAGCATTAGCTGCTTTGTCTGCAAAATGGTTTGCTTACTCTCTGGTCCACAGGGCGGACCTGAGACTAAAACAAGGTTAACATTGAGATCAGTCATCCCTTGTATATGGTGATGCTTCCATCTATATCAGTTTCCTTCCTTCCGCATCCCCGTATTCTGTGAACAGTCAACTCAATCTATAAGCCTGTTGTTACTGAGAAGAATTGTTCCCCTCTCACCCAGAAAATATGTCAGTACAAATTTCTGTTACTTAAGCCCTCAATTTTACGTGCTTTGTTATGCCAGCACTACAAAATTAGCATACGTACCTTATTCTTAGATTGGTCTTTACTTGTAATGAAATCTCTGAAGAATTAATTTGTAGTCACACCTATAAGCAGACTTTCCCTTTCAAACTGAAAAAGAATGGTTGGGAATGTCTTTCAGCCCACTCTAGATAGCATATCACACAATATAATAGTTCAATAATAAAGAATATAAGGGTCTGGGAAGATAAATCAGTTGGTACAATGCTTGCCACACAAGCATGGGGACCTGATTTTCATATGCAACATCCATACAAAGAAGCCAAGCACAGTGGCCTACATCTGAAACCCAGTGCTCACGGAGTGGAAAGAAGAGGATCCTAGAAGTTACCCGAGCAAAATTGGCAAGTTTGGGCACAGGGAGAAACATCATCTCAAAAAACAGGTGGAGGACAAATGATTGGGTAATAGCCAGAACCTGGAAACGACCCATACGCCCTTCAATGGCAGAATGGATAAAGAAAGTGTGGCACATATATACTTTAGAGTTTTACTCAGTGGTACAAAAACCATGACATCTTGAATTTTGCATGCAAAAAGATGGAAATAGAAAACACTATCCTGAGTGAGATAATCCAGACCCAAAAAGACGAATATGGAATGTTCTCACTCATTAGTGGACTCCAGCCATAATTAAAGGACATTGAGCCTATAGCTCGTGATCCTAGAGAAGCTAAATAATAAGATGAACCCAAAGAAAGCAAGCAAGGAACAGTAACAGCAATGGAGCTGAACCAGCCGGTGCCTGGAAGACAAGCTGTGTGTGCTTCAGAGGGCAGAGCCAGAGATGTAACCCAAGTGCTTTAGAGGAGTCCAGAAGATTGGGAATGGATCCCAGATATTGGATGGGTGGAATTTTGTTTTGCTTTGCTTTCATTGTGACTGTGCCCTGGGTTTTCCCTCTTGAAGTGAGAAAGTATTTTACTGGAGTCCATAGTTGAGAGACTTGAATTGTAAAAGACTTTGGGTTTTTAAAGAAACGGACTATTTTTAAGGAACTGATAGTTTAATGTGTTTGAACTTGTAAAGGCTTTGGGACTTTTAAAGTTATTTAAGATCATGGGGATGAATAAGAAAGGAAGGGTTGTGGCTTAATAGTGATGTGTTTGTGTGTCAACTTGACACGTAATAGAGAATCATCAGAGGAGGAGCCTCAGCCGAGGAAATGCCTTCTTGAGATCCAGCTGTAAGGCATTTTCTCATTAAGTGATCCATGTGGGAGGGTCTAGTCCATGGGGGAGGTGTCATCCCTGAGCTGCTGACCCTGGGTTCTGTAAGCAGATGGGCTAAGCAAGCCAGAGGAAACAAGCCAGTCAGCAGCTCCCCTTCATGGCCTCTGCATCAGTTCCTATCTCCAGGATCCTGCCCTGTTTGAGTTCCTATCCTGACTTCCTTCAGTGATAAACAGCAATGCTTAAATGTAAGCCAAATAAACCCCTTCCTCCCCACCCTTCAAAAAAAAAAAAAAAAGAAATCTGTGAGGGATTTGGGACTCTTTTCTCATTTGTGAAATATTAATATTTGTAAAATATTTCTATATTTCATTAAAATAAAATATCAAAATGTTAAAAAGATAAAAATAAATAAATAAAAAAACAGGTGGAGAGCAATTGACACCTAATGCTGACCCCTGGCCTTCACACACACACACATACATACATGTACACACACATACACACAGAGAAAGACAGAGTCAGAGATACAGAGACAGGGAGCAAATAAAAGAGAATATTAGGAGTCCGGTGTAAATGACTTATGCTCTAATTTTCCAATCAATGTATAGTTAAGTCTAGACTGTTCATGGTGAAATAGACAGCGAGGTGAGAATAAAGATGCCAGAGAAATACAGAGACCTCAGTCCCTACAATACTGTCCACATGCCTATATCAAATCAATACAGTCTATAGAAAAATCTTGTCTTTTAAGAGCTATAATTGGAAGGCCGGGCGATGGTGGCGCACGCCTTTAATCCCAGCACAAGGGAGGCAGAGGCAGGTGGATCTCTGTGAGTTCGAGACCAGCCTTGTCTACAGAGCTAGTTCCAGGACAGGCTCCAAAGCCACAGAGAAACCCTGTCTCGAAAAAAAAAAAAGTTATAATTGGACTCTTTCTCCCCTACTAAGTAAAGAAGTTACAACAAAAATCACACCCACACATTTCTCTTTCACCTAAATTTGTCAACTACTGCTGTGTGGATAGGCAAAGCATCTCCCTTCCCATTTTGTTAAATTTTTCAAATAAAGCTATCTTCACATTATTTCCTTGAGATTGTGTGCTAGAAGGGCAATTACCACGTCCAAATTGTCGTATTTTTAATAGCTTTCATACTTATTACCAGATTGACTTACAGAAAATCTGGTTATTCATTCACTGGGGGCTTACTCCCAAAGTCATCTTTGGTCTCAAGAGAAAGAGCTGTGTCTTAGGGAATATTGAGAGCATCTGTGATCAACTGCCACATTCAATAACGACCCATCACATTGTGAAGAGCTCAAAGGCAGGCCGGGCGCTTGCAAAATGTGCAGGAGTCTCGGATCTCAACCTCCTCCACCCCTGGAATGTGGTGTTTAAGCTCAGTGCAAACGAAGAAGCCAGCTGGAGGGCTAAGCGGCAATCATCTCTAGTCTCCGCACTCATGGGGAGGGTTCCAGTGACCTGCACATCCGAGTGTTTAGTTTAGAGATAATTTTCAATAAACTGTTGTCACTTGAAAAGAAACAGTCTGGACAACGTATGGCCCATTTGGGATCCTGAGAAAATAAACAACCAAGGGAATGCCCCCCGGCCCCTGCTTGCCTTTGCAGCCATTTCTGGAATGTACTTTCTTTCCAGTTCTTTTTTTTTTTTTTCTCTCTGTGGCAGGTTTTACTTAAAAATAATGCTGTTTATTTAGCATGTCTTGGAGACCCTCTTTTGAAGAAACCGTAGTCATGAATGGCTTTAACGTCCTGCTTCGCAGCAACCAATTCATCCTGCTGCTGCTATTGCTCCTTCAGGTTCAGAGTCTGGGTCTGGATATTGATAGTCGACCTGCTGCAGAAGTCTGTGCCACGCACGCCATTTCACCAGGACCCAAAGGTGAGGAAGAAACCTCAGATTTCATGTAATACTGTTTATAATCTCTTTCCCTCACCTCAAATCCTCCCTAGCTGCTTGGTGACTTCACTCCCTTTCCTCCCTAGTTTCCTTTGCCTTCCTGTCTATTTTGGAGACCAGTTGACTTTTAACTACTTAGGCAGGCTTCCCTAGGTGGAAGGTAAGAGGAGGTGAGAAGGGAGGTGAAACACGGGATGCGAGCCTGATGGCAATCACCAAGGGCTGTGAGAATCCCTTCCACTGTACCCAACGGGAGATGAGGCTCATGGTCACTTTGATTTAAACACCTCCCTTCATTCTAGAGCTACTTTCCTTCCTCCCTTTCCCCGCTCAGACTGATTCAAAAGAGAAATTTGTCTAGGAGGTCAAAGATAACAGTGTATTCTGAAGTGATTCCTTTGTAATTAATGGGCCCCTGTGTTCGAGTGAGGAAGATTATGTTTTAATTAAGGACCAAAAGTAGTGTATATAGGAGGATTTCTTTTTTGAAAGCGGGGTCTCTGAGGTCAACTGCCTTCAGCTGGAGAATGGTCAAATATTGCTCCCCTTCTCCCCCCAAACATAGTCGAGGTTTAAGGTTTGGATTTGCTTTTGGCACTGGTTGGGTTTTGTTGTTGTTGTTGTTTTGTTTGTTTTTAATAAATCTGTTTTCCTGGTTTCAGTTCTTCCTTTTTTGTTCTGAAAGTGGTCCCTGCACTGCAGGCTGCTTCTATTAGTAATTCATGCTGTGCTTCCCGGGGCTATTGTGTGGAAGAATGGTAGCTGCTTAAAATCTCAAGCAGAAAAAAAAAAAAAAAAGAATTAAAAAAAGAAGAGAAAGAAAGAAAAGAAACACGACTTAGTTCTTGTCAGCTATTTAAATTTGTATTGCTTAAAGTGCATTTTTCTTAATCAGTGAATTAATTTTCTCCTCTGATCGCAATCCAGATTCTAACCTTTGATACCATAAAATAAATGCGGGCTGTTACAGGCAGACCTTGGGGCTTCCAAATAATATCTTGGGTGAATAAATGAATAATGTAAGGGCAAATGTTCAGAAAAGAAAGTTTGGGTTAGAAATAAAGTATTTACTTAAATCCATTACTGGACTCATCACGGACTACAAGGAAACTGTGTTTTCCCTGTGCTGTCAGAAAGACTGAATATTGCAGGCTTCTTCTGTTGGGGAACTGAGAGAATCTACTCGAGAATAACACTGCTACGTTTTTTTTCCCCTAGAAGAAAAAGCCACAGTCTTCACAATGGAATAAGAACACACAAGAAACTTAATTAAATGCCCTAAACATAACACATCTCCTTCAAACAACCATGTCTCCTGCAATTCAACCAGTGAACATTAATTGTTTCCTGTTAGGCCCTGTTTAGGCACAACAGCACACTAAATAAAATGTTAGTGCCATAAACAGTAAAGAGATAAATTGTTTTGCGTAGATTTTCTGAGATGGCGTGACTCTGTAGAGCAAATGAGGACAGCATTTGTGTAGACAAGAGCAAGCCCACAGGAGAAGCTCGAGAAAAGCACTCATCAAAGGCTGAATGCAATATGTAATCAAATCTTAAATCTTTTCAAAATCAGTCAGGTACCACCGCATTCAGGAGGTTGAACAAGTTCAGGGTCATCCTTGTCTACTGTGGACATAGAATTAAGAAAAAGAAAGTAGAAAGTCTTGAGAAGGAAAAACAAGACACCTACCTTTTAAAAAGTTAAATCACATTATTTCATTTTATCACTTTGACCTATACAAAGTGTTTATTGAAAACCAGCAGTGCCCACATGTCTCCTTTAGTCATTTCTCCACCTAGTACAAAACTTGAGTCTTGTCTCTAGAAACTCAGGTACTGTTTCCATCTGTTGATGCTTAACTCTCTTCCTCAGCCCAGGGAGAATTGGAGCAGGTCATAAGCTAATGTGGAGAAATGGGGTTGCACCTTGAAGGAGAAACTGAGAGAGGAGCTGTGGAACACTGTGTCTCAGAACTTCTCATCTTCAAGATATGGATAAGAGTTACTCATCTGAGAAATATGGTCTTTGCACCAAAGGCTTTGTAAGCCACTTCTCAGTAATGAGTTTCTATGACTCTGAAAGGTACTATACTTCCCACGTCCAGGCACCATGTCAAATGACTTGGGTTGGAAGCTAAGATAAGGAACTCATCTTAGGACTTGTCTCTAAGTAGCAAGCTTGGGATTCAAGTTCTGGGGCTGAACTCTTCCTTGATCTGAATCTTCATGACCTGCCTTCACATTGCAGCAACCTGAGCATGGTTACTGCTGTCTTTCTTCCTTTCCAGGAAGAGTATTAGAAGTGGATGCACAAGACATACATGGGACCTTCTCTTGAATGTAAACTACATCTCTTTCCTTGTAAGAATTACAAAAGCTCCTCCCCAACTCCAAAGAAAGCAGGCCTGGATACTGGGCTCCTCACAAGGAAAACAAAAAATTTTGATGGCCAAATAGGCATTTTAAAGAGCCAAATTATAGTTTTTTTTTCTTCCGTATTTTTTTCTGCTACAATCAAACCAGAGCGTGGTGCTTTTTCCCATGGCAAATCATCTCATTTCTGTGTTTACCAGCACAGCAGTACTCTGCTCAGCAATTTCCAGATACTCTGAGAAACAGACAATTAAAGGAACTTAACTCTAAATTCGTTTGGGAGAGAGGAAACTAAATAAATTATTCAGACTTGCAGATGAAACACCAATAATATTATCCAGTTATAGAATATGCTGTACAGCAGACAGACCCACTCGTCAGCATCCTTTCCAAAGCACAACCTAACAGCAGAAAAACAGGAGATTCTATTGGATCTATTTACGCCTCAGCTTCTTCATGTGAAAAATGGACATTCATCATACATACTTCTTATTTTTAAGATGAAATAAATCACCATAAATTAATAGTGAACAGACATCATTAATTATATTTGACAAATTTTGCTTCTCTTTCTTTTTCCTGCTTCTCAGCTGCATCAAGTAACAGTTTGGGGGTTAAGAATCCTAGTTACTCCAGATGTCTTTGCTGGAAGTCCCCATTATATTTCTTTCTGTCCTTGAAATGTTTGTTTTCAACTTCTTAGCAGGAAACGTTCCCTTTTGATTTTTATCCCTACCATGGCAGTTTCTTTCAGCAACTTATGTGAAATTCTGACCTCTGGTGGTTTTAGTTGAAAACAACATGGATGAGAAAAAATCAAGACTTTAAACATCCGAATGGGATATTTGGAGGAGGCTTGACAAACTGTGAGAAACGTTGAGTACATCACCTTGTTTAATTTTCACAGCATCCATATCTATTATCAAAAACCTAAGCATTTGCATGAGGAAATAATCTTAGAAAGGCCAAGTGGGCTTCCCAACTCAGTCAGAGCCACAGTTAGTTAGTCTTGAAAGTGGCCTCCTGCTCTCTTGTCCGGGTCCACTCGTTCCATGTCATACACCAGTTTGCTTTAGTCATGTATTATGCTTAAAAACGCAGCCACTAGCTACCTTCTGGTGATAATGACTGGCTGTTCATTATCTCAGGACATTGAACTCATGCCCACTCAGCTCACTGGTTGTATTGGATGCTAAAGTATGCTAAAATGATGCATACTACTAAAACTGGTGTTCATGCACTATTTTACTCTAGTCTAACACATGTTAAATAAAATATTGCCACTTGCAGCTATGTAAGGAATTTTCCACCACTTTGCACTTTAATTATCGCAATAAACTTTGCCAAAGATATATAATTTCCATCTGCCATATAAGGAAACTGAGGTTCGTAGCTAGAGCGTCACTGGCCGAGTGCCACTGAGCTGGAAAGGACCAATTGGACTTGGGTCCAACACAGTTCCATTCCCATTCTCTGTTGCAGTTAGTCTGCTGGATGCCCTCAAAGCCGTGGGGAGTGTGGCATAGTATTGTGCAGAGCAGGAAATTAGCTGCTTTGGCTTTTGCTTGAAAACTCCATTGGCCCCCATAGAACTCATTCATGGGGAAACACAGGCAGGCATCAGAGCATAAAGCAACAGGAGTATGTGTGTCACTGTTCTTTTTATGTAAGAGAGGTCATTCTGTGAGGGAAGACTGGAGGGGATCACCCCTGCTGGGAGGACAAAGCTTTTCTCTGGAAAGCTCCGTTAACCATAAGAAAAGGGACATATATTTGGTCATCTTCTTTATTATTTGGCATGGCTTGATATTGCAGAACTGACACAATTCTCCAAATAATTCTCAATGTCCAAGAAGAAGAGTGCTTCTGTGACTTCCTCATAAATAAGTCTGGATACACCCTGAAGGTATCAGAATCCCTCACATTCAAATTTAAAGGCGTATCACTTGCCAGGTAACTCTCAATGATCTTTGGTTTGTGAATTTGATGTCTGGTGAGGTACAATAATGACATGCCAGTCTCATGGGCTTTGGTGGCCAAGTTACAAGTAGAAAAGGTTTAGCAAGAGCTGGAGGAGAATGGGCCTGGTTCTTACAGTTTTGATTCTTTTTTGCTTCTTTAAGAAACACACATTATCTCTCATCTATCCTAGGCAACACATTCTGTTGACCTCCAGTTGTTGGGAGATATAAGCCAAAGAACAACTTATCCATCTCTTACTCTTCTTAGTTTAGCCTATAAAACCCTATTTGTATAACCTGGGAACTCTATTAAAATGCCTTCATCAATCCTCATAGCTCGTGCCATTTTATTCCTAACAAGCCTACCTGCTTTTATGTATCAATTGTTTGATCTGCAGTCTCCTGCCATTGCATAAACGTCTGTTAAGTTATATTTTATTGTTATCTTCACTCTTTTAAGGATAAATTGTAAATAGATGCAGTAAAATTTTGGGCTGCAGATATTCAAGTGAAATGGCATCTAAATAATTTAATATTTCTGTGTTATTTACTGTGATTGTGCTTGATTTGAGAACTCTGTAAGCATCATTTTATGTCTCTTGAGGCTTCTTGGCAATGCTTGTATCTTTTTAGCAAATTACACGC